ACCTGATCCTCCTCCACCAAGGGAGAGTCTTCCTTTCTCCAGACTTCCTCTCTTGCCTCCAAGGTCTGGAATTCCTCAGGACTGGCCTTAGCAGGAAAGACTGAAGCAAAGGCAGCATTCAATAACTCTGCCTTCTCCATATCCTTTGTTATCAGGGCACCCGCCCCATTCAGCAGCGGGCCCATGTTTTCCCTAGTCTTCCTTTTGCTATTGATGTATTTGAAGAAGGCCTTCTTGTTGTCCTTGACATCCCTTGCCAGATTTAATTCCAACTGGGCCTTAGCCTTCCTTGTCGCATCCCTGCACGCTCTGACAACGTCCCTGTATTCCTCCCAAGTGGCCTGTGCCCTTTTCCACATTCTGTAGACTTCCTTCTTCTGCTGGAGTTTGGCCAGGAGTTCCTTGCTCATCCAGGCAGGTCTCCTGCCCGCTTTGCTCGACTTCTTCCTCAGAGGGATGCAGTGATCTTGAGCCTGGAGGAAGTGACGCTTGACTATTAACCAGCTTTCTTGGACCCCTCTTCCTTCTAGGGCCCTACCCCATGAGATTCCCATAAGTAGGTCCCTGAAGAGGCCAAAGTTAGCTCTGCTGAAGTCCAGCGTTGCAATCCTACTTATTGCCCTGCTCCCTCCTCGAAGTTAATCCTCTAGGAGCCACCATTCTCTGATCCCTGATATAGTCGCTGTCATTGAAGCAAATGACTTTCTAACAGCTCAGGGAGAATTCTTCCTGTCATGCCATTGTCGTATTAACTGCACAAGAGCCACATATCACATATGTCATATCCTACTATCATGAAATTTAAATTTACTGTTACTTCAGCCCAGGAGTTCCAGAGCAACTTCTGTTTTTCCAGTATTTGAAATTCTCATAGTCCTGGTTTCAAGCACTTGGGTAAGTCCAAACGTCTCTGGTACCAGAGCAATTTTTTCTTATGATTTGGTCTAGGAGCTAGATCAGTGGATCCACATGCTTAACTGGAGCATGGCATACGATCCTGACAGCTCCTGTTGTCGGATGCTAGCAAGGCTGCCCTTAGGAATCCAGCGTTAGCTCATGTGCTCCTACAGTTCTGCCAGTCTGAGTAAAATCCCTTTGCTTTGTGATTCTCAGCTGTAGGTTATGAACCTGTTACACATTCACAGAAATAGGACCATGCAGCCCAGGTGTTATAGATCTCCCAGTTCATTTCCCAGCCTTCCAGTGGCTCAAACACTTTTTTCCTCAAAGTTTCACCTTGTAGACGGTTGAGCGTATGGATTTCTGTCTCAGAGGTACATGATACTGAGTGCAAATCTTTCCTTTATGGTATTCATATATCTAACGTTCCAAAACCTGTTTCCCATGATAATTCTTCAATTATTGCTTTTCTTTTAAGACATACACCTATTTATAGTCATATAACTACCACATATAGTTTTCTTGTCCTATTTTCCTCACTACTCAGAGATGCTCTTTGGTCTCAGGTCAGAAATTGATAAAGGGTGCAGGATCCTTAATTTCCTATTACCTCCTAATTTCTCTTTCATAACTTAGGAGTCAATCTCTTTTTGATACAATACTCTTCCTTCTGTGCTCCTGACAGTTTTCTCTTTTCTTGAAATAATGAGTGAAATAGCTGCTTTGTAGCTTCAGCTTGCCTTTTACGGTGATCTCCTGGTGGTTTAGTTGATACGTATCTCCCATCAGGTAGTATGTTACCTGGCTATCTACCTAGTTGTCAAAACTAGCTTGGTTTTCTTTGCTATGTCCATTGTTTTGATAATCCACTCACTTGTTAATCCAGTCAGCACAGGGGTGATTACATGACCCACTCATTATTTGTTCACACATGTAGTCAATTGAATCGGCATGTGCTTCTGGGAGGAGAAACCTCTTTAAGTTAGATAATGGGGAGCAAAGAATATTTTCAATTAGGCAATTTTCTAATTAATGGAGAGCTGTCCTATGTTTTTTTATGTGGATTTAGGTGCTTCTGTAACAACACTAGAAATTACACTAAAATTGCATGTAAAAAGAAATTGTGTCAAAGCTGTCTAGTTAAACTTGTTTGATGGTGTCAAATGTTATTTTAATATCAGTGACACTGATATAAGTCGAAGAAGTCTGAAAGTTTTTTAAATCAAAATAGTGGAACAATACTACTCATGCACACAAGATGCTGAATATTTATCAAACGTTTTTAAAATGTAGACACTGATTATGTAATGGTATCTGTCATTATTAACTCTTCTGCTCAACTTCAGGCCATTAAATTATATTATAAATACACCTGTTGGTGGATATCTTCAGAATAATGAGATCTGACCTTACATTTTAGAAGGATGGATTTATGAAATGAATTATGAAATGAAATCAGATAACTGCTATTACATGACTTATCTTTCAACTCTTGAGTCTCTAAAGAGTCAGGTAGAAGATAATGCTTACGTTTGCGCGTTTTCTCGTGTGCTGTAATTTGGAGCTCTACACTAATCAGGACTAATGTGTTTAGAGTATTTTCATATTGCTCCTTCATTTATTTCATTATAAAAGTGTTAATTTTTTGCTTAAATGATGAATCTTCAATTATAACTTTGTTGGGAACCATGTGTTATTAAATGTGTAATGACTGAACTGTCCCCCCCCCCACCCCCAGGACAAAAAGAGTTATTCCTGTCCTGTGTGTGAGAAGTCATTTTCTGAAGATCGACTTATAAAATCACACAACAAGACAAATCACCCCGGTAAGAAAAAAATCAAAGGAAAATTTCTCAGTCTATTGCCACAGAGAAAGGACGGTTTAGAGTGAGCAATGTAATATGATTATGTTCTGAAGAAAGAGAGAAGTTGTATGTCTAATCTAACTGGTTTAGGTCAAGAATATTATTAGGTTTCCAGATGTTAAAATTCAGAGTGAAAAAAGTTATTGTTCCAACTTGTATGCTGTGGAGTATAGCTGATAATTGTGTGAAGGAATTCCAGACCTTGGAGACAAGAGAGGAAGTCTGGAGAAAGGAAGACTCTCCCTTGGTGGAGGAGGATCAGGTTAGAGATCTCTCCAAACTTGACATCCACAAATCCATGGGCCCCGATGGGATGCACCCACGAGTGCTGAGGGAGCTGGCGGATGTTATCGCTAGGCCTCTCTCCATCATCTTTGAAAGGTCCTGGAGATCAGGAGAGGTGCCTGAGGACTGGAAGAAAGCCAATGTCACCCCCGTCTTCCAAAAGGGCAAGAAGGAGGAGCCAGGAAACTACAGGCCTGTCAGCCTCCCCTCCATCCCTGGAAAGGTGATGGAACAGCTCCTCCTGGAGGTCATCACTAAGCATGTGGAGGACAAGAAGGTGATCAGGAGTAGTCAGCATGGATTCACCAAAGGGAAATCATGCTTGACCAATCTGATAGCCTTCTGTGACGGAATGACTGGCTGGGTAGATGAGGGGAGAGCAGTGGATGTTGTCTCCCTGGACTTCAGCAAGGCTTCTGACACTGTCTCCCATCACATCCTCCTAGGTAAGCTCAGGAGGTGAGGGTTGGATGAGTGGACAGTGAGGTGGCTTGAGAACTGGCTGGATGGCCGAGCTCAGAGGGGTGTGGTGAATGGCGCAGAGTCGAGTTGGAGGCCTGTAGCTAGCGGTGTCCCCCAGGGGTCAGTCCTGGCTCCAGTCTTGTTCAAT